CATTCTTCAACCCGCCTGAACTCTGAACCTTTCTCAGCAGATCAGCATAAGATGGGAAACGCTTTTATAAAGGAAGATGGTTTATTGGAAAAACCCAGCCTGGATTTAACTGCTGCTCCACCTCAGGGCGAGCTGTGGGCGGGCAGGGATGAGGGAAGGGATTAGGACAGGGATAGACAGGGATACAGGTGGGGATAAACAGGGATACAGGTGGGGATAAACAAGGATACAGGTGGGGATAAATAGGGATGCAGGCAGGGATGAACAGGGATACAGGCAGAGGTGCAGGCAGGGATAGACTGGGATTCGGGCAAGGATAAGGGCAGGGATAGACTGGGATTCAGGCAGGGATAAACAGGGGATGCAGGCAGGGATGCACAGAACAGCAGAGCTGCGATGCCACTGCTTTGCTCCTCAGTGACCTTCCTGCCCTGCTTTGTTTGCCTCTTGCTTTATTTCCCTCTTATGTAAGCCCAGCTCTGTGGACGGCTGATTTGCCTCTTTAAAAACAATCAGGAAATGCCAAAGCAAAGTTTTCTGTGCTGGATTTTTTCTCTTTTCCGGGATGGCTGGCTGGGAGCAGCGTGGTGGTGTCCAAGTGACACCAACCCAGCACTGCCACCCCCAGCCCGGGCAACTCGCTGCCTCCAGATTCCCCCCGTCCCAAAGCTGCTCAGCAGCCTGGGAGGTGCTGCAGGGCAAAGTGGGGCTCCCCAGCGTGCCCTGGCTGTCCCGGCCCTCCCTCTGTGCCTGTCCCACCTCGTGGCCGAGCCCGTGGCCCCTCGGCTGCGTTCCCTGCTCCGTTCCGTGCCGGCAGCCTGGAAAATGCTGGTCAGGCGTGCCGGGCCCGGAGCACAGAGCCCTCATTCATGCCCGGCCGCGGCTTTCCCAGGGCCCGCGGGGAGGCTCCGAGTCACAACCTGCCCTTCCCACGGAGGATCCACGGGCTGGGTCTGCAGCTGCCGGCACAGGGATGGTTTGTGCGATGGGCTCCTGGCCCCGCGGCTGTCCCAGTCCCAAACTGCGGTCCCAGACTGTGATCCCGGTCCTAATCTGTGATTCCAGTCCCAAACTGTGATCCTGGTCCTAAACTGCGATCCCGGTCCCAAACTGTGATCCCGGTCCTAATCTGTGATTCCGGTCCCAAACTGTGATCCCGGTCCTAATCTGTGATTCCGGTCCCAAACTGTGATCCTGGTCCTAAACTGTGATCCCGGTCCCAGACTGTGATCCTGGTCCTAAACTGTGATCCCGGTCCCAAACTGTGATCCTGGTCCTAAACTGTGATTCCAGTCCCAGACTGTGATCCCGGTCCTAAACTGTGATTCCAGTCCCAAACTGTGATCCTGGTCCTAAACTATGATTCCAGTCCCAAACTGTGATCCCAGTCCCAGACTGTGGTCCCAGTCCCAGACTGTGATCCCGGTCCCAGTCCGTGCATCCCAGTCCCAGACTGTGATCCTGGTCTCAAACTGTGATCCTGATCCCAAACTCTGCATCCCAGTCCCAAATTGTGCCTCCCAGTCCCAAACTCTGCATCCCAGTCCCAAATTGTGCCTCCCAGTCCCAGCTCCTGAGGGTCCACTGGGCAGCAGCAGGAGCCAGGCTGGGTTGGGGACAGGGACAAACCCCCAGGAGCCGCGCTGGCACTTCACTTTTGGCTTTTTTGGGGCGGGGGGAAGGGGAGGAGGCGCGGGCTTGGCCGCCGGCCCCTGGATCATGCGGGAGGGGGTTGTTTACTGTAACTCCTGGCCCAGGGCCCGGCAGCAAACCCCAAATGAATTCAAGCTGCACAGGGAGGTCACAAGCAGCTCCCGGGGCAGGAGGGGCTTTGCCGGGGGGTCCGGAGCTCAGGGCTGGGGAGCATCCCTGAGGAGGTGCCATGTGCAGGGCCCTCACCCCCGAGGGTCCCCGCATGGGGACAGTGGCTCTTGGCCAGAGCCCGGGTTTGTCTCCCAGTGCCACCAGCCCTGGTCCCGCGCCGCCCTGGCACCCAGCACGGGACGTTTTGTTTCCCAGCTCTGCAAAACCGCCCCGAGTTTGGTGGCCTCATCCTGGCCGCGAGCACCGGGGCTGGGACGCCAGTGTCACCCCGGGGCACGCCAGGCCAGGTCCTGCTCCCAGGGCGCCTCTTCTCATCCCAGCCTCTGAAAATCCACTCGGGCATCCCCAGCGCGGGGTGGGCAGAGCTGGGGGCCGCGGCAGGAGCGGGCTCCACGCAGCCTCTTCTTCCCTGGCTCCAGAGCCTCTTGGCCCTGGGGATGCTCGACAGCATTTTCCTGGCTCCAGGCGAGTGGTGAGGAGTTGTTTTGTTTTTCTGGCTGCTGCCCGGCCTCCCTCTCCCCCAGCAGCCCCCATCCCTCCCTGCTCCGCTTCCGCCGCCTCGCAGTTTGTTTTTACAGGGATTGAAACAAATGATGCAGAGAGAGATTCCCAGAGCCCCCACCAGAGCTTCCCCTCGGCTCTGCTCCCTCCTGGAGGTGTCTGGAGCAGCCCCTCCTTCACCTGGGGTGCCCCAATCGCTTCCCACTCCTTTCCCCCACCACCCCTTTCCACTCTTTTTTTTCCCTCCAATCCCTTCCCACCCCAGTTTTCCTCCCCAAACCTTCCCATCCCTTTTTTCTCCCCAATCCCTTCCCACCCCATTTTCCCCCCAATCTCTTCCCACCCCATTTCCCCCCAATCCCTTCCCACCCCATTTTTCCCGGGAAGGGGCATCATGAGGCTGTGCTGGGCCACCATGGGCAGCTCACGCCAAACCCCGGATCTTCCCGTGGGCATTTTTAGGGAGCAGAGAAAGGCTGGGACAACTCTTGGGGTGCCACCAGCCGTGCCTGGCTGGGCTGCTCCTTCCCCCGGTACCCCGTTCCCACTGGAGTGATGATCCCGAACACAGCCCCCGGCAGCGTCCCGGCTGTCGCACACCCCTCGTGCGGTGACATGGACGGGCACGGCCGAGTTCCCGCACACCGGCGGCGTCCCGGGGCCCGGCTGCCATCCCGGGATGTGGCAGTGCCAGCCTGTCCTTGTCCCCCTGCCAGCAGCCCGTGTGCCACCGCCGCTGCCAGCCCTGCTCCCGCGTCCTGAGCGGCGAGGGGACAGCGGGGGACAGCGGGGGACAGCGGGGGACGCGAGGGGACAGCGGGGGACAGCGGGGGACAGCGGGGGACAGGGGGGACAGGAGGGGACACCAGGGGACACGAGGGGACAGGAGGGGACAGGAGGGGACACCGGGGGACACCAGGGGACAGGAGGGAACACCAGGGGACAGGGGGGGACAGGAGGGGACAGGAGGGGACACCGGGGGACAGGAGGGACAGGAGGGGACAGGAGGGGACACCAGGGGACGGGGGGGACAGGAGGGGACAGGAGGGGACACCAGGGGACACCAGGGGACATCAGTGGACAGGCCGGAGCAGACAGGAGAGAACAACCAGGAGGGGTCAGGCTGGAGGGGACAGGCAGGGGGGGACAAAAACGAGGGGAAAAGAAGGAGGGGACAAGAAAGATGGAGGGAAAGATGGCAGGAGGGGTCAGCAGGGGACAGCAGGGGACAGCAGGGGACAGGCAGGAGGGGACAAAAACGAGGGGAAAAGAAGGAGAAGACAAGAAGGACGGGACAAGAAAGATGGAGGGAAAGATGGCAGGACGGGACAGGAGGGGACAGCCAGGAGGGGACAGCAGGGGACAGGCAGGAGGGGACAAAAACGAGGGGAAAAGAAGGAGAAGACAAGAAGGAGGGGACAACCCCACTTGTCACTGCATCCTCCAAAATCGCGGATGCTCAGCCCGGTTTTGGGGAGCCCCGAGGCAGGGGCACCTTCCCAAGGCTAGGGTTGCTGATCTCCATCAGCCTCCCTGTCCCGGGGTGCAATTAGAGCCAATTAACTGGCCACTAATGAAGTGCCAGGCCGTTATCAGGAGATGGAGAGTGGGGTGAGGTTTCCTGGTGGGGTTTTTCATGGCCTGAGGTCGAGGGTGTTTCTGTGAGGGGGAAATCCTCTGCGGCAGTGGGTGCTCCATGATCAGTGAAAAAATGGAGCGGTTTTGGGGGTGTAAGGGACGATTTCAGGTGTGTAACTGGGGCTGGTTTGGGCGTGTAATTGATAATTTCAAGTGTGTAATGTATCATTTCAGGTGTGTAACCGGCATGTTTTGGATAGGGGTTTTTGTATAATTTCTGGTGTGTAACTGGCACTGGTTTGGATGTGTAATTGATAATTTCAGATGTGTAATGGACAATTTCAGGTGTGTAACTGGCACTGGTTTGGGTGTGCTATGTATAATTTCAGGTGTGTAACTGGCACTGGTTTGGGTGTGTTATGTATAATTTCTGGTGTGTAACCGGCATGTTTTGGGTGTGTTATGTATAATTTCTGGTGTGTAACTGGCACTGGTTTGGGTGTGCTATGTATAATTTCTGGTCTGTAACTGGCACTGTTTTGGATGTGTAATTGATAATTTCAGATGTGTAATGGACAATTTCTGGTGTGTAACTGGCACTGGTTTGGGTGTGTTATGTATAATTTCTGGTGTGTAACTGGCACTGGTTTGGGTGTGTAATTGATAATTTCAGATGTGTAATGGACAATTTCAGTGTAACTGGCACTGTTTTGGATGTGTAATTGATAATTTCAGATGTGTAATGGACAATTTCAGGTGTGTAACTGGCACTGGTTTGGGTGTGTTATATATAATTTCTGGTGTGTAACTGGCATGTTTTGGGTGGGTTATGTATAATTTCTGGTGTGTAACTGGCATGTTTTGGGTGTGTTATGTATAATTTCTGGTGTGTAACTGGCACTGGTTTGGTGTCCCCACGGCGCTGGGGTTTCACCCCTCAGGGAGGTTGTGCAGGGAGCATCTTCAGAGCCCTTCTCCACCGCGGCGCCGGGCAGAGGCGCCTGCAGCCCCCAGGAGCCTCTGCAGAGCAGTGGCATTTCCAGGAATCTCCTGCCCCAGCTGCCGCGTCCGAGCTGTGTCCCTTTGTGTCCCCGCAGCTGCCGTGAGCCCGTGCACCTCCCCGCGGGTGCCCCAGGCCGTGCCCATGGACCTGCGGATCGGGCAGCGCGTGGTCAAGCCCCAGGACTCGGCGCTGCTGGCCCTGAAGCAGCAGCAGCTGCAGCACCAGCTCTTCCTGGCCAGCCTGCACCAGCAGCAAGTGGAGCAGCTCACCCACCAGCACGTCAGGGTATGGGGCAGGGCATGGGGGGGCCCACACCCCATTTTTGGCAGGGTTTGGGGCAGGATCGGGCACTTTGGAAGGTGAATTTTGCCCCCAGAGCGCAACAGCGCTGGCAGAATCGGGGCTGGCTTTGAGTTCCCCTCTCTGGGCAGGGATTCAGAGGAAAAGGCTGGAAATCCCAATGCCAAAATGACATTCCCAGGTGAATTCCTGATCTTCCCTGAGCTGGAACATCTGGAGGGGTTTCCAGCCAGCCCAGGGACCTCTGTGACGCAAGGAGGCTGCTCGGGGAGGCAGGTGGAGGGGTTGTGTCTCAATTCCAGGCCAAATTCCAGAGCTGGAGCCTCCCGGCGTGTCCAGCACGGGCAGAGCAGGAGCCAGAGCAGCTGCAGGGGATCCCTGCGGGCCGGGAGCTGCCCCTGCTCGGCAAGTGGTTTTTTGGGAAGTGTCACCGAGCTCTGGTGCCACCCGCAGCTCCTGCCCCACGCAGGGGCACTGCCAGGTTCCATTGGCACAAGAAACCAGCGGGATTTGGTGGGGATGGCTCCTCCAGTCCCGGGGATGGCTCCTCCGGGAGGCTTCAGAGGGAGGCAGGTGGGAGGACACGTCCAGGGAGCTGTGACCACGTCCAGGGAGCTGTGACCATGTTCAGGGAAATGTGACCATGTCCAGAGAGTTGTCATCGTGTCCAGGGGGATGTGACCATGCCCAGTGAGGTGTGACCACATCCAGGGAGTTGCAATTGTGTCCAGGGAGTTGTGACCACGTCCAGGGAGGTGTGATCACATCCTGGGAGGTGTGATCCTGTCCAGGGATGTGTGATCATGTCCAGGGAGCTGTGATTGTGTCCAGGGAGGTGTGACCACGTCCAGGCAGGTGTGACCCTGTCCAGGGAGGTGTGACCATGCCCAGGGAGGTGTGACCATGCTCAGAGAGTTGTCATCGTGTCCAGGGAGTTGTGACCACATCCAGGCAGTTGTGACCATGTCCAGGGATGTGTGACCATCTTCAGGCACCGAGATCCCCCTGCCTGTCCCCAGGGCTGCTCTGGGCTCGGGGCAGGAGCCAGTTCCGTGGATCAGCTGGGATTTCCGATCATGGATCTTTTTTTCCTTTTGTACTCAACAAAGATTTTTATTTTTTGCCGCGTTGCAACACCCAGACGTGTCCAAACACCCTGAGAGGAGGCAGCGAGTAGGAACAGACAGGTTTTGACTTTTATGATGTCCCCGGGGAGAGCAAAGCATCCCTGGAGACCGAAACGCGTCCGGTTTGTTGTGATGGAGCAATTTCACGGGTTCCCATCAGCCGGGGTGACACCGGGGACTGTCCCAGGCGAGCTCTGTGCCCCGTGTCCCCCTGCCTGGGGGTCAGAGGGCTCAGGTGGGGCTGGGGTCCCTGCCCATGTCCCGGTGTCCCTGTCCCACAGGTGGCCATGGAGTCCCCGCACCGCGAGGCTGAGCCGGGCCAGCAGGAGCAGGAGCTGCGGCAGATCCTCAACAAGGACAAGAGCAAGCGCAGTAAGGGCTGCCTGCGCCCGGCGGGCACCAGAGGGGCTTTGGGGAGGGGGCTCGGGGGGCTCTGCCCTTACCCAGACCCGCCTCTGCCTTCCCGGGGTTGAAACGGGTGGGAGAGCATCCGCAGAGCGGGGCTGCAGACCCCGCTGGGTCCCCGGGCTGGGGTACGGACCCCGCTGGGACCCCCGGGCTGGGTTATGGACCCCCTGGGACCCCCGGGCTGGGTTATGGACCCCATTCAGGTGACAGACCCCTCTGGGATCCCCGGGCTGGGTTATGGACCCCCTGGGACCCCCGGGCTGGGTTATGGACCCCATTCAGGTGACAGACCCCTCTGGGACCCCCGGGCTGGGTTATGGACCCTGCTGGGACCCCCAGGCTGGGTTATGGACCCCATTCAGGTGACAGACCCCAGTGGGACCCCTGGGCTGGGTTTTCAGACCCCTGGGCTGGGTTTGGTGCCCCTCAGACTGGGGTTGCAACCCCCACTCATCCGCCAGACCCTAGTGGGACCCCCGGGCTGCGTTTTTAGACCCCCAGACTGGGTTTGCAGCCCCCCGGGCGGGTTATGGACCCCGTTCAGGTAACAGACCCCTCTGGGACCCCCGGGCTGGGTTTTCAGCCCCCCAGACTGGGATTTCAGCCCCCCAAACTGGGTTTGCAGCCCCCCGGGCTGGGGTGCGGCCCCCTCCCAGCCGCGGTCTCTCGGCGCCCTCTGGTGCCGGCGCTGGAGGAGCTGCCAGGGGCTCGCTCCCAATTTCGGGATGCTCAGGGCTCCGCATCGCACCTAATTAATTATAACTTAGTTAATGAACTCGTGCTCGGAGGTGCCGAATGCTGGCACAGATCCGTGGAGCTTCCTGCTGGCGCAGACAGAAGGGGTCGGGATGGGAGCAGAGCCAGCTGCGCCTCTCGGGGGTCTCCAACCATCCTGGTGGCACTCCCGGGGTCGGGATCCTGCCCGCGGGGACCCTTCAGAAGGGCTCTGAGCCCCCTGGGGTCCCCGTGGTCGCTCACCATGGTCACCCTGCAGGTGCCGTGGCCAGCACGGTGGTGAAGCAGAAGTTGGCCGAGGTCATCCTGAAGAAGCAGCAGGCGGCTCTGGAGAGGACCAGCAACGCCCCCGCTGCAGCCCTGCCCTACAGGTAAAGCATCGGCACCCTCGGCCCCCACAGGGACCCGCCCCTGCCCAAACCTGCTCAGGGACAGCTGGGAAGGGGCTCCGGCTTCTCCCCGCAGGTCCCTGGAGCCTCTGGAGCCCGAGGGTCCCTCCCCTGCCATGCTCAGCACGTTCCTGTCCCCCGTGCCCAGCACGGCTCTCGACACCCCCGAGCATTTCCCGCTGCGGAAAACAGGTACGGCCTCGGGAATGTCCCCGTGTCCCTCAGGGAGTTGGGAATGTCCCCGTGTCCCTCACGGATTTGGGAGTGTCCCCGTGTCCCTCAGGGATTTGGGAATGTCCCTGTGTCCCTCAATGATTTGGGAATGTCCCCGTGTCCCTCAGGGATTTGGGAATGTCCCTG